GAATAAAATGATATAAATTTTTTATAATATTTGTTTATAAATTGTCAAGAAATTAATTGTTGAAGTTTGTGCATTTTATCCGGTTTTAAAGTGGTCGGACACTTTTGGTAAATCTTATAATGACAACACACCTTGATTAATCTCCTCTTAATCGATTTAATCTATCATGACTGATTAATTTGTAATTTTCTTAATTATCGATTTTAAAGGTAAATATTCTTGCAATAATGCATATTTAAAGAATATGACATGGAGTTAATTGATCTTTAACTCGCTGAGAAATCATAATTTTGCAATCGAAAGTAACAAATAGCTTAGTTTATAAATATACTATATGTTTAAACATCTGTTTATATAATGTTTAAAGTAATTAAATTATTATTATAAATTCGTTGGTAAAAATTTTATGACAATTTTGTTGAACTAAATATAGAACCTTTTTGAATCTCATCAAACTTACAACTGAATACTTTGCTCGTTTTAAGGATTAGGCTGCATATGAGTGATAACTGAATGCTTCGCGATATATTTAAAATATCTTACAAAAAGCAAATGATAAAAATTAAGCCACGAATTTTTTTCTCCTAGAAACAAAAATTTTAAATATACCATATTTGAAAAATTCCAGTTACCTATATCATGATTTTTCGTTGCCACTTTAATTTTATACAGATATCAGCAATTGAATCTAAATCTCTCAATCTTGCCTCAATACTATTCATACTTATAGTTCTGATTGCAAAATTTGCAATTTGTCGAATTCTTTAGATTGCTAAGAATATGAAGTACTGGCGGATAAGCTGTTCCTCGGACTTGAAAAATAGGCATCTTCGAAGTTTTTCTTTTAATATGGATATTATTTCTATTTTTTTTCGATGCTTTTTTGACATTATTTGAGTTTGCTATTTAATGCCATTTCTTAAGTTTTAGTGAAATTATGATTTTTCGAATCAGAGATTTACGAATTTGATGCACATTTTATACTGTTCAATCAATGCTTCATTGCTGATAATAAGATATTTACGCTTTCATTAAAGAAATTTTAAATTACAATTAATAGTCTTTTTTGATAGAATTAAAATCAGTCGTTATTCATTAATTAATTGTGTCTGCGTTGAAAAAGATTCTTTGTTATTTTACTTTGTACATGTAAATAAATTAAAAGAGATTCAAACTTTAAAAGGTTTCAGCTGATTATGTAAAAAATCTTGTTTTATGCGCGAAATAAGGCAATTTCTAGCAGGTCGGGTACTTGATACTATATGGAAAATTTTTTACAGAATTACTGAAAATGAAAGGCTCTTCGAATATCTTTAAATACAGTCCGTACGGTAAGTAATGACAGACAGATTTTTAGTTGTGTGAATCTGCTGAGATGTGCACAAGACATAATAAATTACCTGTTTATTTATGCTGACATATTCTATATTTTTCCTGTTTACTTGTCACCAGTATGCAATAATCATCCTTCTTATCATCAAAAAACTAAAAAAGTTGACACTGGTGCCTGGAAGAACTTTGGCTAAATCTCACTGCAATTCTGCAAAAATTTCTTAAATAAATTATACTAATATTCATTCTTGCAAAAGATATAATATTTATCTTTACAAAAATACTCAAATTTCAGTTATTTGCTTTTTAGTTATTCATATAAAACCTCTTTTTCATGAAATTTTTATGCAATATGCATTTTGCTATGGTTTTCATAAAGTCTAGATCTCAATTTTATACATAATAAATAATTATTTTCCAATTGGAAACATGAAAAGGAGAGCTAAGGTAATGATATAACAAAAGCTGAACATGTTGCAAAAGGTTTTTCATTATGCTACTGAAAGAAAAAAGGCACATTTTTGAGAAGGTAGTTCTTAGAGGCATCACCCTAGTCCAAATTGCATTCAAATTAGCATTGATGCAGAAAGAGAGCATGTCGAATGCAAATATGTTAAGGGTATAAAGCCCTGTTTATAAGCATTCTAAAACGAATTTTTATACATGTATGATTATTATTCTAGATTTTGTTTATTTCTAAAAAAAACTGTCCGTCATTATTTTCTGTACGGACTGTAATTCTCATTGGTCTTACAAATGAATGCTTATGTTTTTTATGCATTATATAAAAATATTTAGAGAAGTTATGAAAGAACTATTATTATCATATCGCAACCATACTAACTAGAAAAGGTGTAAATTGGATGGAATTTATAATACAATTTATAGCGTTACTATTATTGCCCATAAAGTAAGAAATTTAAGCATCAAGATATGTGTGCTGTTTATTTAGGGCCTTCTACAGTATAATTTGAATCATAATATGGACAATATTAATATACAGAACATATCGGATGATGGAATTTAATTTTAGGAAATTGGTCGAAATAAAGTTGATAGAGTATTTATTATTAATCCCATCGTACGGGAAAGGTTTCAACATATGTATTACTTTTAGGAAAAATGATTCACCAATCAGCTTATGTATTCGATATATTTTAAAAAAATGCCGAATGCGCGCCAAAAACTAAAAGCTTCCACATGACATCTCACATGTACTCATGCATAAACGATAATCTGAAAAGAGCACTTTTCAATGATATCATCGTGAAATAGTGCATAATGATAATTGCTTTGTGAATAATATTGCTAACGACCAGTACCGATATTATTGTTAAGCATTTTGTTTTGCACGCATATTCTCAGTTTCCCCACCACTCGCAAAATCGAAAATCGGCGCCGGTCTTTTCTTAATATGTCTAGCAAAAAGCTAAAATCGACATTACATCACGCACAAAAAATCTCTTATCGTTATTAATAGCGATAATGTACACGCATCTACCAAAGCAAAAAGTAATAATGAACCTGATTTAACTAAAAATGAATGTGTGAGAATATGATCGATAAGTTAAAATGTAATTTCCAATAACGATAATTCTATTTAGCCATACTATCATAACAATGACACGAATCTTAACATAATTAGAATTAAGAACAACAGCAAGTAAGTATATAACATGTGCATATACATGTACTGTACATGTATGATATAGCGATAGTAAATGATCATTAAGTTAATGTAGTACAATTTCTTTTCTCATCAAAAGTTTTGCTGAACACCTTATTGATGAACTGCATATAGCATATAAACTTAACATGTAAACAGGAAATGATCACATTATTTTCTCCTTTTTTTTTTCCGCTCTTTTTTCCGCTCTTTTCATTTTCGTATTTTCTTCCCCACTTCTCAAGCTTTTCTCACACGCGCATGTCAACAAATAATAAAGTTCTCGTCACGAGGACTATATACAAACCAAATAGAAAATTTAACATTTTTTCTTTTTCATTCATTATACATGCACGTATACACAAAAAAATTACGAAGATAAGTATCGTAGCTATGCATATAAAATATCGATCGAAGAGAAACAACGAAATAAAAAAAAAATGAGCACGAGAGCAGTAAAACAACTAGAGTATATGTACGGCGATATAAAATATATGTTGTATCACGTAGAATAATCAGCATCATCGTTATTTTTATTGTTAAAATAGGGAGAAAAACAGTAAAACGGCGTATTCACATATTAATAAGGTTATTATAAAATAAACTACAATGTATACATGAAATCAGCCTTAGGCGTGTACTACAACCCCACAAAAAAACGATTACTTATACAAAAAAGTGACACAATATAATTATTATTTAGAATGCGAAAAATTTTTCTCCATTTTTGCATTCCCATAAAAGAGTCCAATTTTCCCAACACACGAAGAAAAAGCCTTGTGAGAAACAACGGCAATCTTTGTCTTCTTGTCTCCTTAAATTAAAATCTGATGAAAATCACCAAATAACGATAATAAAATACTATATCACTAGAAAACCGTTTTTTCAAAAAATGTATACATCTACATCTACATCTACATCATCATCATCAGCAACGTCAGCAATCATCAATAACCAAGGATTATCACGTACATCGCCCACACATTCGGTATTCCAAAAACAAAATAAACCCAAAAGAAAATTTTTCAAACATCTTCGAAAACCGCCATCTTTCAATACTTATTTGCTACGTCGTTCCGATTCCACAACCTCAATCTCGTCATGTGACAGCAACATAAATAACCTTTTAAACGGATCGGAAGAAATGACAATTGAATTTTTGCCATACACAAAAAATTTGCGTGCTAGTTTTGCAAATAGTCGACGTGATTCGACGTCTTCTTTTTCTTCTTTATCTTCCTTATCCTCTTCTCCGAATACTAAATTTTCTAGTATTTCAGAGACATCGTCAACTCATACCGTTGAATATGATGACGACGGCGATTCTTGTGCTGAGAATAGTGAAGAAGAAAATGAAGAGTTCCTTTTTATGAGCGCATTTAATTCTTCACGAACAGAATATCGACTTTCTAATAGTTGCTGACGAGACATTTTTTAATTTATGAATGAATTTTATGCTAGCGAGCAATTCAATTATTTTGCTAAATAAATTCAAAAATGATATCCTAATATAGCGATCATTTATACCATAA